AGAGGCTAAGATTTCCCGCTCTCTTGCAGCTCTGTGGGCCCTTGAGACCCAGCAGAACTGGCGGGAAGGATTTGTTTTTAAAATGAGGTTCAGAAATCCTTTTTCAGCCTATAACTGCTGAACAAGCAATTTCGCATACAAATGTGTGTACTTATTCAGGTTTATATAGAGAAAAAAACATGCAGCTAATCATTTATATAGATGCAGATCCATGTAACTGTGTAACTGATATTTATAGAGCCATAAAAGAAAACTATTGTTAAGTCTAACTCTCAGCATGCTTGGTAACTGTTATGTATATAACTCTAGCATGCCTACAACCTGTGCTCTTACAACTTTGGTACTTTCAATTCTAATTCTAATCAATTCTAATTAGTAGCAATAGGACCGCTGCTCAGATACACTTATAAGGTGTAGAATTTATATGTTATCAGGGCAAGAATTAAGAGAGAATATGGCATTTGATCTTGTTGACCTTCTGAGGAAATACTTCATATTACCCAAAAAATGAAAGAATTGAATATAGTAATTTTTTTTTGCTTTTTGGGTCATACATTGCCGCAATGCACAAGGGTTACTCCTAGCTCTGCAGTCAGGAATTACCCCTGGCAGTGCTCAGGGAACCATATGGGATGCTGGGAATCGAACCGGGGTTGGCTGCGTGCAAGGCAAACGCCCTACCCGCTGAGCTACGGCTCCAGCCCCGAATATAGTAATTTTTAAAAGATCATTTCACTTGACTTTAAAATAGCTTATATAGGACTGGCAGTTGTTCAGTGGCAGAACATTTACTTTGTATGTGTGAGGACCTGAATTCAATTCCCGACATCACACAAACAAAAATCATACACATACCTAATTACTACTAATTGAAAAGATTATTTTTCAACTTGCTGAATGCAATACATATTCTTTCTATTTATTAGATATGTGTTATTTTAGGGCCAGGGATTGACTCAAGGTAGAGCATGTGCTTCACATTTTAAGGCCCTAGGTTTGATTCCTGACTGCAGGATTTAAAAAGAAAAACAAAAAAAATAATAAACGTACAGGTTTTTCACATTTTTCTGGTACTACTTATAAACTCAGAATTTTCACCTAAGTTAGAGTGATACAGAGATTACTCTCAATTGATCTTTCCCTGGAGAAACTATTGCTTATTGTTTTTATAATCTTCTTCATCTCCATCCAGACCAAAGAAGTGAAAAGAACTATAGTTTTTGTAAAAAGTTCAAAGACTTATCTGTAAAGTACGAAAAGCCTCTAAAAATTACATGAAGTGGCCTGAGGCAAATGAGTAACTGAATCCTCCATATCTAAGTTTCAATGACCAAAATCCCACCCACCCTTGATTGTTAAATAGTTCAGTACATTATTTCTAACCTCTAGTTACACTAGAACGGAAGTCTTCATGTTACTGTAAGCAATTCAGCCCAGGAACTGAGCTTAAAATAACGCTTCAAAAAAGCTTAGAGCATCATTAGAGTTGATTACCAAAAAAAAGACTTTATTTTATGTAGTTGTCCGGATTGTTCTTTTCTTAAACACATGCTATTTAGAAAAAGTAACAAACAAAACTCTTCACCAGATATTGACAAAAACCATCTCCAAGAATACAAAGAGGAAGATAAACTGCTAGACAAGGCAATATTGGCCGAGACGTTGTCAAAAAGCTGTTAAAACAGTGATTTAAGCAAGTGGTGGTGTGAAAAACACAGTGATTAAAGACCAACTTGACTAACACACACACACACACACACACACACACATACACACACACACACACAGAGGAACCCTATCCAGGATTTGTCTCATTATTGCAACAATGAGCCATGTGGCAAAGAAGGGAGACTGCTCTGGGCAGCCTGTGTGGCTAGTAGGGGGAACCTCAGAGGCGTTTCTTCTCAGGAGACACTAAGCTTTTCGAAAGCATCACGGGTAAATTTAACTCATGGCACCGTCTCAAGCTTTTCCCCACAGCTGCATTATCCCAGTGTGAGACCATGTCTTCTCCTGCCACTAATCTTCAGAGCTGGAATGAAATCTGACAGAAGGGAAAGTGGAAGTCCTGCATTTTTTCTCAGAATCAGGGCAGAAGTGCCGATGAACAGTTCCAACAGCCCCAGGAAAAGAACAAAGGATCTTTCCAAGTGCCATTTACCTTGCTCGAGCCCCAGGATGGGGTGAGGGGGGCTGGCAGAAAGATCTCTCCCCCATCCTGGATCTTAGGCTGGTGTTAGAATAACAGTTTTGCATTCCCAGAGAGGAGTCATGTGGCTGGGTTAAAAAGTCCCAGATGGCTATTTTCACATATTTATAAAAACAAGTTTCCTGAGGAGTTTTGACTAGTACAACAAGGTTGGACGTCTCATTTGGCTTAAAAGGTACCAAAGTGCAATAAAACTGTATCGTTTTCAAATATTCTAGTCATGTGTTTGCTTTCCACTACCCACTCAGGGCAAATGAATAAGATTTTTATAAACTATCATCTGAACCCCAATTAAGTTTGGGATTTTAAGCAAGCCTTAAATTTGTTAAGTATAGTCTGTCTACTGATTGGATTGTCATAAAAATGTAGATGGTGGTAGGAATGACTACCACTACTATCTTGATTCTCAATCTCATAGATCATACCAGAAGAAACTATCTCTTCAAAAAGTGCCATGCACAGACACTAGATAGAGAATAGCAAAATTTTCAGTTATGCACCCAAGAGAAAGTTGATGGACTTCTCTTTTGCAGGGGCTACGGGGAGGGGAGTCCTCCCCCTAAGTGGTGCTCACCGCCTATTCTTGGCCAACCAGGCCGCTGGTTCAGTGCAAGGACCATGCTGGGGATACCCAAGCCTCTAGGGCTACACCCAGTGATGCTTGGAGGGACTATGTGGTACCAGGAAATAAATCCAGGTCAGGTACTGGCCAAGTATGCATCTTAACCATTGTACTACCTCCCAGCCTCATGGAACTGACTTTTTGTGGAATTTGAAGTTTTTATACTGAATGAGAATAGTTTTATGATAACTATTGATATCTATTGATTGTTATGATATCAAATTTGAAAATAATGGCATATTATTTCCTCAAAGTGAAACTTCGGGGGGCTGGAGCGATAGCACAGTGGGTAGGGCATTTGCCTTGCAAGCGGTCACACGCTGCCAACCCAGGTTCGATTCCCAGCATCCCATATTGTCCCCCAAGCACCGCCAGGAGTAATTCCTGAGTGCAGAGCCAGGAGTAACTCCTGTGCATCGCTGGGTGTGACCCAAAAACAAACAAAAAAAAGTGAAACTTCGGGCTCCCTAACACATCTCTGAATTCTCAATTATTTGAGGGGATTGGATGAAGTTTGTGGGATTAAGCATTCAGCAAAAGTCTGGACACCCAGAGAGAATGAAGAAAGCCGAGCCTTTTGTGAATCAAAATGATAAAGGGAAACAAACTTTACAGACCTGACTGGGCAGAAACAATGATTTGGAAAATGGTGGCATTGGCATAAACATTGGCGTCACTGTAAAGCACAAGTTGGATCAGAATCTTCAAAAGAGCAGTGAGAACAAAGATGCCATTCTAGACTCTACTAACAAGAATCCTACAGATCAGACTGTCCAACTTATGTAGCTCGAAGACTGTTTTTCATCAAAGCTCTAAGCAGTCCCCAAACAGTGGAACCTTCCAGCAGCATAAAATCAACCAGAGAATTCTCTCTCACTGTGTAGAGAGATCCCCCGGCTTGGAACTCAGCCTCTAACATTATCATCAGCTTATTTCAGAGGCAAATACTAGATAAAAGAATTCTGGAAAGGGAAGGGAGGGACTTTTTCTGATACACACTCAGGCCACTCTTGGAACCCAAGACCCCCAATTCAGCAGCTAATATTTGAGAGCCTCATCAGCCCTCAGTTTTTATGTTGGAATAAAAGAAAGCATGCACTCTTTGTTCCTTTTGGGCATAAACTATCAGGTGTTAGAGAAGCGCTGTGGGCCCCCAGCACACCGGAAGGCTTTGAGGGTCAGAATTAGAAAACTCTGGATGAAGTGCAGCCTGATTTTATGTGGTGGGAGTGAGCAGGAGAGCAGTACACCCCACAGTGCATTCAGCAGCACTGCTCCAACTCCACACAGATGTCACCTCTGACAGACTGGTGGTGTGTAGACAGCCGTGTGCAGGGGGACACTAGGCTCCACCCAGCTCTGTAAGAATGACTCTGCCCATGATTTCAACCATCAGCCCAGGCATTTCTTATTCTGCCTGTTTCAAATGACTATAAAGCTCCCCTAGAGATCAGCAGGGGACATGTTTCCTCCACCCCCCCCCCCCCCACACACACACACATACACCTGCCCATACTCTCTCCTTCCCCACAGCGATGGAAAGACAGAAAACAAGAGTGAGATTTGGGGGGCATGGGACCAAGTAGGTGATTTTAGCTGAAGAGGGAGACACTAGCTCCTCAATACACCCTGTTCCTCTGAGAAGTTCCCAAGGGTGACTGGAAACAGCCAACATGATGACCTCAAATCACAGAACAACAATTTCTCAGGACTGTGGGCTCTTCATCATGTCCTCTTGGTCTACCTAGGATCCTCGTTTGACTCACTGCCTTCTCTGCGACTCAACTCTTCTTGAGAGAAGTCTGTGGTCTGCCATGACTTCAGAGAGAAGGGCTTGAATAACCTAAGGGAATGATCCAAAGCCAGTTAGGGGAGTGAGTGACTCCCCAAGGAAACAAGAGATAAGCAGCTTCCTGACATGATGCCGGAAGGTGAGAAGGCCACAGCAAGCTCAGATGAGCATTATCAGTGGAAGTCAGTGGCTCCTCCAGGCCCGAGGGCAGCGGTGGAAGTCAGTGCGGCCTTTTCTGATGCTTCTCCATCAAGATTTCTTCCAAGCACAGGTGCCGCCATCATCGGGAAGAGGGGGAGTTGGAAAACACAGCCAAAGGTTCTGTATCTCCATGGATGGGAAATTAATAAAATTCGGATCCTCTTCATCCTCGGTTGGCAGGCCAGCAGACTCCCTCCAGGACAGCCTCTCTTGGAAAACATCAGCCCCATTCAGTAGTGGGCTTAGTGGTCACTGAAAAAAAAAAAAACCAACAAACAATGAAACAGGAGCAGAATTCCATGAGCTCCAGGACTTGGGTCAGCCCTCCCCGGAGCTGCTGTGAGCACCCTCATGGGTTCAAGGTACAGACCCAGAACAGAGGCTGCTGGGAGGCTTCTTTCCTTGCTGAGGAGACCCACAGAAACCCTGAAAGATGCCCTAGCTCACACTCAGATATCCCTGCCCTGCACTGCTGACGTGGAGGGGAGCAGATGGAGCTGGGGCTTCCCCCTTTAATTACGCCGAATCCCATTCGGGTATGAATAGATGCCAAATTGCCTTTTTTTTCCCCCTTTAAGAAAGTTTTCCATGTGTTGTTTTCCCTCCAGAGCGTGTGGCCCTGGCCTGTTCTCAAGAGCCTGTTTTTTTGTTGTTGTTGTTCAGAGCCACAAGGGATCTGGAGATGCCTTGGAGTGTCATTTGGAATTCAATGGCCGGGCGGCGCGGTGTGAACAGACAGCAGTGATGGACGCGGTGTTTGGACAGGGCCGAGCTGCTGGCCGATGTGTGCTTTTGTGTCTCACTTGGCAGTCTCTGCTGAGTATCTGGCTCGGTGGTTTTTCTCCCCGTGAGACCACACATCCACCCACATGTCCCAGAAAGCCGGCAGCCCCGGCTCTCCTCCTGCTCTTTCGTCTACTTTTGAGCCCTTCCCTAGGTCTCTAACTGAAGTCCCCCCAACCTCCCAGGACTTGTCTGACAGTTCAGAGTCAACACAACCTGCACCTCCACTGCCCCTCAGCCAGTGCTCACTGCCATCAACCTTGTCTCCGATTCCCACACACCTGAGCCCCAGGCTTCCAAAGCCACTTGACAGGACGGGTCCACCGACAGATGGAGCGCCTGATCGGTGGATGGGCAGATGGAGAGATGAAGGGAGAGAAGATGAAAGGGGAAGTGATGTTGAGCACATGTTAGTGCATCTGTGTTTTGTACTGTGATGGGGAGAAGCTGAGAGAGGAAGCCAACTCCCTGGGAAAGGAGGAGAAGAGGCGGGCATGCTCTGCAGCAACCTTCGCTTTCCATGGAAACTGGTCCCAGAGGCAGGCTTCTCCCCTAAAGAGCCGTCAAATGTCTCAGCCCACTTGGAGAATGATGTTAGCCTGCTCAACTGAACTGGGCAAGGAGGGTTCAGTTCTTGGAAATGGGTGGCAGCCAGCTAATAGCTCTAAGAGCCAGAAGTCCATCGCCACCAAACAGAAGGCTCCAGATTGCGGGTCCCTTTCTCAAGGGCACGAAGGCCCATGCTTCCGAAGCCACTTTACAGATAGACCTTTGATATTTGTCTTTGATAGTTCGGCTCTTCCAAGCAGAGGACAAAGCCGAAGAGCAGCAACGCAGTCCCTCTCCTGTCTATGATACTACTCTGCATCCAGCACTGGTCTGTGTCCAGCAGAAGTAATTTTTTAAAAGGTAATCACTATATAGTCAATTAATGTTCATCACTTTAAAATCACTGTCACTGTCCTCCCATTGTTCATCGATTTGCTCAAGTGGGCCCAGTAACATTGTGAGACTTGTTACTGTGTTTGGCATATAGAATATGTCATGGGTAGCTTCCCAGGCTTTGCCGGGCGGGCGAGATATTCTCAGTAGCTTGCTGGGTTCTCCGAGAGGGGCTAAGGAATTGAACCTGGGTCGGCCGGTTGGGCCGCGTGCAAGGCAAACACCCTACCTGCTGTGCTATCACTCCAGCCCACTTTAAAATACAAAATACAAATCAGTAGTCAACAAAACTACTTCCAGTCTTACCATAGCTAACCTTTAGGGATCTGTTCTTCTAAACTCCCTTCTTTGATAATAATATATACTTCTTTTTAAAATTTTTTTGTGTAAGAATAAGATGGGGCACTGAGCGATAATACAGAAATAGCACCAGAAGGTGTTAACATGTTTGTATCACATGTGGCTGGCTGTGGTTTAATCCTTAGGGTCACATGGTCCCCCTTGGAGCACTGCCAGGACTGTCCCCTGAGCTCAAGGCCAGGATCAGCTCCTGAATGCCATCAGGTATGGCCCCCAAAGCAAACAAAAAGAGACCAGGGTACGGGAGATGACTCAAGATCAGGGGCACATGTGTGGCATAAACAGGACCCCAAGTGCAATGCCTGGCACTGCACGGCCCTCAGGTACTACTGGGGGTAACTCTGGTGGACCCTCATGCTTCCGGAATTAGATTCAATTCATCCTAACATATTGTATGGCAGTCTGCTTTCCTTATTCTCCTTGACAGGCAGACACCTTTCCTTGCCAGTAAACAGGATATCTTTCTACTGGTGACAAAGTATTCCATTGTCTCCATAGGCCAAAATCAAATTTTAGCTATGTTTTTTTGATTGAACATTTAGGCTCTTTTCAATTTTAGTTTCTAGCTATTAGGAAAAAATTCTATATCTTAGCACACTTCCAAATGTTACCTCTGTATAAATATCTAGAGGAGGAAATGTTAGACTAAAATCTGTGCGTGTGTAAAGCTAGAGTAGCCTTCAGTCCATTATGCCTCTTCCTCAAAATATCCGTATAAATACCCAAACACTTGACTTTAGAGAAACGTCCTCTTCTTCTCAAGTCTTTCCAATGCGAAATATTATTATTTCTGATGTTTGCAAATTCAGTAATGATGCATTTACCTTGACTTTTTTAAAATGACAAGAATAGATATTTTTCTCAAAGCTCTTCTGCTAATTTTAATTTCTTTTCTCTCACTAAATTGCATATTGATATTCTTTGTTCATATTTAAAATGAGAGACAATTATATTTTTATTGGTTTATGTATTAAATTTTTGTTCATTATATATACTATGTTACTGTGTTTGGCATATCGAATACATCACGGGGAGCTTGCCGGGCTCTGCCGTGCGGGAGATACTCTCGGTAGCTTGCTGGGCTCTCCGAGAGGGGCGGAGGAATCGAACTCGGGTTGGCCATGTTGGCTGCGTGCAAGGCAAACGCCCTACCGCTGTGCTATCGCTCCCAGTTTGTCATTTAACTTCTAATTTTAGTTATTGTGTGTTTTTTAAAAAATATTTTTGATTTCTTTTTTGGGGGTAAGGGGGTTGAGAATTTTTTCCCTTTTGGCAGAGCTGATGATCAAACCCTGAGTTTCATACATGTGAGGCAAACATTCTACCTCTGAGCTGAACCCCTAACCCCCTTTGTGGTTTTAGAAGTATAGAATGTTTGAATTTAATGTAAATTTTTGCTTTTCTGATAATGGTTTCTGATTTGGATATCTTGCTTTCGAATAAATCCCCACCTTAAAGTTATATAAAACTGATCTATAACAAAAACATTTTTGAGAATCTCTTTTAACCTAAAGTGTGAGGTCAAGCTCTTGTGTGTGTGTGTGTGTGTGTGTCTTTGTGTGTGGGGGGGTTCACACCCAGTGATACTCAGGGGTTACTCCTGGCTCTAAACTCAGGAATTACTCCTGATGGTGCTCAGGGTTGCGTATGAGATGCTGGGGATAGAATCTGGCTCCGTCACTTGCAAGGTAAATGCCCTCCCCACGGTACTATTGCTCCAGCCCTATGAGGTCAAGTTCTAGATTTTCCCCACATGTGCTTATGGCTGTTTGTACATTTTCTAGTCTGTTCTATCCAGGAGTAAGTCCCCACTAATCCCAGGTGTTACTGTCAACACTGACACAAGTTCATGGCTCATCCCTCCTTCTGCTCCATCTTACAATTGCTCTTTTTCCTTTTTTTCTTTTATAAACTATCCTAACCACTTGCACACAGTTATACTTCCCAAGGAAATGTTCATTAGGCTCTTTAAGTGCCAGGATTACATATAAAATGATAATTTTTTACTTTATTGTCTTTCATTCAGACAGCACACGTCCCTTTCCAGTCATTTAAATCCCTATGTCCCTCCATGAAAAATTGAACGATTTCTTCGGTTTTTACCCCCCTATGCTTATGATGAAGTGCATGCCTGGGTCTTTCTCTGTTTGTAATATACTTTTCCTTTCTGTTAGTTGTTGCAAAGGGCACAGTGGTGGTGCTTAAGGGGCCCAAGCCACTCCAGGTGGTTCTCAGGGGTCACTCGGTATCAAGAACCCACCCACGGCCTCACATATGTGAGACAATTGGTCTCCCACCCTGAGTCACACCCCTGCCCCGCATCTAGGGGCTTTACATCCTGTGTCGCTTCTGCAGTGGTACCAATGTTGATGTGGGTAATTTAGTAGCTTTATTTTTTTCAGAGTAGAAGCGAGTCCAGGGGCAGGTAACAAGCTTGCATCAGGCCTCAGCCACTTCCTTGATCACACCTTTCTTAGCCAAGTTTCCTGTTCTCATCTCACCTGCCAAACACATCCTGAAACCACGTGCCTGTGGGGTGGTACATCCTGCATGAGAAAACGGGGGGGGGGGGGGGGGGGGAACAAAACGCTACAGGCCTGACCTAATACTTGGTGTTCTTCCTGCAGGTGTCTGCAGAAAACACTGCTCCAAATATCAAGAGGCTTTCAGATACCACCTTCTAAAACAGACTTGCAATTTCTAAAGAGAACATTCTTCAGTATGGCTCGTTCAGAACATTCTAGAAGCGTTTTTGAAAGTTTGTGTGTACTATGTCACCACAGACCCTAGGAGCTCAGACCTGGTCCCTACCACTAGGGCTCTGAGAAGCAGGAAATGCACGTCACCATCGCCAGACAAGAGACGTCCCACTGTGGGGACACGTTGCTCCAGCTCCTACTAGAGCAATCCTCACAGGCCAATGCTCACCAGTGGCACCGTGACCCGGAAGCCACGCAGCCTATTGGTAGGTTGGCTGAGCCAGGGCGCCCTCTGCCCTGCACATGCGTTTCTTTATTTAGTTAGTCCTTCCCGGCTGTCTCTGTGGCTATTTATCATCTCTGCTAAATGATCAAATAAACTCAGACGTTAACTCTGGCAAATCCTCGAATTCCCTGTTAAAAATACCTTGGCACACTGCCATAGAACGACAACAAATAAAATAAGAA